TTTTAAATGTTTCACCGAAACAAATAAATAGTACTAAATATTGAACCTTTTCTACGATAACGAATTAAATACCGAAACTAGAATTATGTATTTGCTTAATCTTACTTTTGCATAAATAAAAAGTAAAAAAAGTGTCTATGGTCAACAAATGGAAGCTCGCCCTAAAATTAGTAACAGTTATAAAGCCTAGTCTAAACATGGTGCAGCAGACAGCGCGCAACAAATTAAACCATCGCTATATCGCGGATCGTAGGCAGATGATGTGGCGCGAACACGATCACGTTGGCAAGGGCTGCCGCTCGTGAAATTTAAATATACCCACTGTGCCAAATTATCAGCTCCAAATAATAAATCATTTATTGTGCTCGCACTGTTTAGTAGTAAAAATGTTAGTTTTCGCATAAAACCGCATAATTAATTTTCATACAAAAATAGTGATGTCGTAACTATTTATATTTGTCTACAATATCTATCCACTTCGTAAAGTATGTTAATCTGTTAAACTTAGACTGGATATTATTAATCAATTATCAAAAGGCTAATGATTAATAAGTCAGATGAGTATTAATAATATATGGTAGCATTCATTATATATATATATATATATATATATATATATATATATATATATATATATATAAAATATATATAAAAAATTATTTTGTGTATAATATAAACATCAATGTTTTAACATTATCAACTATGTATAATTTTTTTATCATCATATCATATAAGAGGGATTTTGCCAGTAGTTGTTATAGTTGTTAGAAATATATATACTTGATAATAATGTATTAAAACATTATCAATTCGTATGATATAATTAGAAAGTTTTCTGACTAGCATACTACAGTCGCCCTAAAACACCAACCAGTAATATAGTACTTAGCTTTATTTAACATTGATTCTATAAACTAGTGTTCATATACATACGACTAATCCATATAAATTAATTCTAAATATACATTGGCAACCCTGAGCTCGATGGACGCCACAGCTGCAACGACCAATAGCTTATTGCTTGGACGTTCCACGTTCAAATTACATCTTGCAAACTTATATTTTACTTACACAAAATCTCTTATGACCCTTAAATGTATCCGCAGTAAGGTTTAATTTTATATTTTAATATTTGTATTGTTGAAATTAATAGTAAATATTTGTATATTGGTCTCGATTAAAACGTTCCAATATAAACGCAAGTGGTATTTGAAAATAGGATATGACTGCTATTTTATTAGCAATATTATGAAGAGTAGAATATGGTGCCGTCAAAAGACAAATCGTCAGCAAACTGCCTGTGATGATAGGATTGATGGCTTAAGGTTTATTTCCGTATGGAATTTAGTAAGTATTATATTAATAATTAAAGAATAAGTCAATATTCTTCACAACCATTGTGACCATTTTGTGTTACTGTGGCACACTCACGAAAAATTATGTTACCTTTTTTATGTACTTTTCTTTTGTTTTTTTTTTTTTATATAAGTATTCTTTTATTTCTTTTTTTAAGTTTGTACCAATATCTGATGTTATTAGTGTACTGTAAGTGATGCAAATAGATTATATAATTATCTATCTAACCAATAAGATATCTTCAACCCAATGATCATTATAACTACTTCAATTTCATTATAATTTGTTTTAACCTAACCAATAAAGATTTAGATTTTTTTATACAACTTAGAATGGCAAACAAGCTGACGGCCCACCTGATGGAAAGTGGTAACCGCCGCCTATAGACATGAGCAGTACCATGGACATAACAGAGTATACTGTTTCGCCCATGATACCCCCCATGCGTTGCCATTCCTGAGGACTCAGTGTTATTCCTCTGTACCCAGTAAATTCACGCCATATCCCACCCCTCAAAACACAACTGCTTTACGGTTGAAACACGAATGGGACAGAGGTACCCAAGCAATCGACTTTTTGTACAAAGTCTCTCTAAATGATACTCAATAATAACATAAGTAAACAATTTTTCGACTAATACATTGTTATGGTTGACTGGTAGAGAAACTCATCCGGTGTTAAGTCCGCCAAATGTACATACGTATACACTGTACATTAAAATTCAAATAAATACATAAATAAACGTCCTGTGTGGCCCCGACATAGAATAGACCACCCCTTCTTTTCCCGTGGGTGTCGTAAGAGTCGACGAAGAGAGGGCAAGGGATGGGCAGCAGCGTCCCTCTTAAAATATCAAAGCCTAACTGCGGTTGCAATTCTGCCTCAAGCGTGGTAATCACTGGCAAAACCCCCCAAGGGGGAGGCTTATGTTCAGCAGTGGACAGTTAAAATCTGATATAATGATGTTGATGACATATATAAACAAGTTTTTTTATAGACAGACTCAATTTCTTTTAAAAGCCAACGTTTAATTGTATTAATTCTGTAATTAATAAAAGATCGTCAAGAAAACTAGCCACAAACTTTCCGTTCTAATTTCAAATATTTTAATTCTTTAAAAATCTTTAATCGGATTTTTACGAGCATTAATAAAATGCCAACTCGATCCTACCACTGACAAGTGATTTACTTAATAATAAAATTCTATTTTTGTTTTTAAATTAATAATCTAGCTGCTATTATAAACGTGAAAGTTTGTAAGGATGTACGAATGGATATCTCTGGCTCAAAAGATATCTCTGGCAATCCATCGCGCAAATGCTGCAAGTGTCATGGGGACCTTTGGGTCGGGTACGGATCGTGAATATGACTGATAATTTTTTTTTGTGTATAAAACATTATTGCATGTATAAAATAAATATGTACGAGTATATATTATATCTCAAATTAACATATGATCATCATCATCATATCAGCTGTTAACCATCCACTGCTGAATGTAAGACTACTTCATAAGGGAAGGTTTGCCGGTAGTTGCCACGCTTGGCAGGATAATTGGTAACTGAAGGTGTTTTGTTTTTGTTTTATACAACTTAGAATGCCAAACAAGCTGACGGCCCCCCTGATGGAAAGTGGTAACCATCGCCTAAGGTAGATTTTTAGCGATGTTTCAAGAAGAATGCTACTGCTCATTCCTCCACTATTAAATTCCCTTAATCGCCTCTAACGATATGTACTGAAAAGGAAGGGGTGTTTACCAAAGAGAGACTTTGTAGAAAAGTCACCTTCATGGATTCGTAGTGTGACCTAGCTGTATTTTTGCTGTGACGAAGCTGAGCTTGTGTGACTGTATTTTAATTTGATATAGCAATCAGAAAAAAAAATTAAGATTTCTTCAGAGCTGACAATGCACACATGATTTCCCTAGTATTGTAGACGTTCAAAGGCTATAGTGATCGTATACTATCAATAAAAAAAAAGTAAAAAAAGTCCTCAGAAATGGTAACGCATGATACCATGGGCGTCACATACTTTAATGCCCATTAATGCTGTTCATATCTATAATCGACCATTACCACTTTTTCTCACATGGGCCGTCAGCACGTTTGCATTCTAAGTATCATAAAAGTAAATTTATCTGAAATAATGCATCTTTATTTTTATTTATGTTTGTAAATTTATATTCAACAGTCATAGACAATAATATAAAAGAGTTTACGTCTACATACTCCATCTGCGTTCATCGACGTGTACTAAAATTATTATTACACTCACTCAGACGCGAGCTCTTTTAGTGGACCTCTTTCGACTAATTGACTCTGATTTACAACTTAGCCGGTTTATAGCCTATACCGACCTCAGTAGGTTCGTGGAATAAGTCATTTGTTTGTTTGGCCGCGTGTGTGGGACTGGTGGTCGTTTAGAATACTGAATACTGTACGACAACTAGCTCTTTCTCCCGACTTCGGTTGAAGAGACTTACGACTGCTTCCTCAGATAGCACACGATCTATTTAATCATGTTAAAGTACATCGGGGTTAGTACAAGCTATTCCCAGTGTCTATCAACTTTCACATTTGCCTTATATGCTTATTTGAGCATCCTTTCATCCGAAATTCTTATCAAATCCTTGATCATAGCAAGGGCCGATAAAAGCATTTTTACTCCGGATCTTTCAAACCATTACGCTCTCGTACTACAGTATAAGAAATAAACTGCAAGTTTTTTTCAATAGATTCTAAAAATTTATTTATTGTTTAATAGGTACACCCAGTGACGTGTGTGTGTGTGTGCATGCATGACTTCACATGCATGCATGCACACACACGCATGCATGCATTTAGATATACTTATTACTAATATTAGATAATGTTTATGTCTTAATTTTATGGTACTATGATTTGTATTTGCATGGTTATGGAGGAGCGTGACCTTCTGATACAGGTGATAACACTTACTAGAAGGTCACAACAACGATCTTAGTATTGTATCAATTTTGTTACGAAATAAATATTTTTTCATTTTCATTTTTCAGTGACCTTTCCGTACCGTACTTAAAATATCCTATGTGTTAAAAACCGTCGTGTGGTCCCGGCATAAAATGAGCCACTCCTTCCTTCCTGCGACGCTTGGCAGACAGATTGGCAACCGCAGTTAGGCTTTTCGTGATATTTTAAGAGGGACGTTGCTGTCCATCCTTCTAGCATTAAATTCCTTCAGTCGCCTCTTACGACACCCACAGGAAAGAAAGGGGTGGCCTATTCTATGGGCTACACGGACGGACGGATGATAATGATGATTTGTTAAAATGTTTCAAATTTTATCCAAATTCGTTTAAACTTTTAAGTATTAACATCTAAACATACTAACGTCTTTATAAACTTTCTTATTTATATTATTAGTAGAATTTTCTATTTCGATGAAAATTAGCTATAAAATCATATAAATAATAATAAAGCCAATCGACATTATAAATAACGTCAAAACTAAGGTCACTGTCTTAATTTAATCGAATCTTAAAATTCTTTAGAATGCTCTAACACGACGAAATTTACAAGTCCAAACTTCAAGCGAATCACTATTCCAACCTTACGGTTTATCTTACCATAAATACAGATCTGCTAAAAGTATTATTCAGAACTCACCTTTTGTGATCTTGTCATCTTCATTCGCACACCAATCTTTAGGCTTTGGCACAGACAAATTCAACGGCTGCTCATCGCACTTGTAGTATTGCACTTTATCCTCACTCTCACTAGTCCTCACTCCCCTTTGTAATAACTGTTCCTGCAGTTTATTCTTATGTACACTTAAATTAAATTTCCTATCAGTCAAATCTGTTTGCACTTGTATATTTTTATCGAAAGAAAAAGATTTCTTAGCTTCAAAATTTCTCTTAACGTTTATCAACTGACTAACGCTTGATCTCTTAGGTTCCTCTTTATTACTCCTATCAACGTTCGATATACCTAATATGTACTCTATTGTATGAGGTGTTGGCTTTTTCGGAGGTTTCCCATACACATGTGGATGCCATGATGGTTCGCACGAATCGTCTTTTTTAAACTCTTCATTTCTAACCTCAATAGTTTCGACATTCTCATGATTACTGTCAATTGAGCTTTTGCTGTTATGAGATTCTTTTACATTGTCGGATTCGTTTACATTGTCGGCTATTACAAGTTCCTCTTCTTTTTCTTCTTCATCAACGTTAATTTTCTCTTCTGGAGTCAGTCTATCAAGTTCATCAGTATACTGATATTCTATAGTATAGGAGCTATCATTATTAAATCCATTGTGGACATCTATCAGTCTATTATCAGCTTGTTCTATTAAATTCGGTGCAACGTAACTGGAGACCACAGTTTGCATATCGTCTGTCTCTTTCTTGTCTTCCTGTCCCGTTTCCGCGCTCATGTGTTAAAATTCACCCGCGATTTGTACGGAAATAGCATGTCATGTTTGTTTTTATGATTGAATTAGCATTTAATAGCCACTTGGGATTGATGTAGAGTTGTTTGATGTATGCGGTCTTTGAAGTCCGTTTCAGATGCTTCCTGTAACAAACACACGGACGATTTGAATCATATTGAGTGAATAAGTGCTCTGGATAGTAGGAACATGTTAATTAATAGATTATGTTTAGATTAACTCTGTGTTAACGAATGAGGTAGTGCAATTTATTTGAAGTTTTAGTCTTTAATATATAATGTTTTTTTTTTTTTTTTTATTAACGGACATCAATTTATTGGTCCTTAAAAAAGCCTGTATATTCAAACAAAAATGTTTCAAGTATATCAAATTTACAACACTTAAACACGAGTTAATTTCACGACATTATATTACCATAAAATTCAGTTCTCAATGACGTAAGGTAATACAATACTGAACGTACATACCTAATTAGTCAGTCACAAATCATTACGCTGAATACGCATAATGTGTAGTCAATTGTTGAACTGTTGTGGTAATTAATACTCTACGTGAGTATTTTTAAGTATTATTAAATATTAAATATACGCAAGCTAAAGTTAGCATTCTTTTAAAGGAGCATTCAACCAGTGACATTCTTTACCATGTTTCTTTAGCAAAAATGTAAAATTTTCTCCTATTGAAACCAATGGATCCTAAAGACTTTGATGTCAGCCTATATACCTACACGTGCTAAGAGATCTATACTAACCTATGGTTATGAAATAGATCGTATTCTTGGAGGAGGCTCGATGAGCTATGCCCACCTCAGAATTACCTAGTGCCCACCCAATAATATGAGCGGAATTTTTAACTATTCGCAAAGTCGTGTTTGAAAGTACATAATGTACCTTTTTCATGAAAATATCCCCCCCCCCCCCTCCCTTTGAAAAATTATTTTAAATACACCAATGTCGGTATTCTATCTTTCTATCAAGAATTTTCTAAATAGGCGTGCAGATATGAAGAAAGTTATGAAAGTGCAGGAAACAAGGGAAGTGAGTTCCTACTTATCTTATAAAAATAGAAACATTTATTTTTGCGTGATACAACATAGAATACAAAGCCACGCATAGGAATATCTATAGAAACAAATTAATACCTTATACGTTTCACATGAAGCGAACACAAACATATACACAATTACACGCACGCACACAGCACTATAATCGCAATAATTCGGTGACAGGGCAGTACAGTCGAGTACAAATTCCTGTCAAAGGTTCGTGCTTTATCGTGTCCCGTCTATTACCAAATCTCCCTCCTAATAGTGATGTAATTAAAGTATCGATAAGTTGTTTTATTATTTATCTATAACCATACACGCATAATAGTAATTAATCAATTCGTGTGAAGAAAGTCCCGAAGTGTATAGTATAATTTTTTGATCCGGTTTTTACTGTGTGTGTGTTCTAAGACTTTTTAAAAATTATTGATATTGCTATGGCATTTACCTTAAAGTGTTATTTCAATACAAAATTGTACAGAGATGATATCTAAAAAAAGTCTGAGTATTTTAAATGTATATAAAAAGAAAACTTTAAACTTTGTCGATGTATCAGAAGATTTGTGGATACGAGAAAGGTCATTCGTTGTATTATTACAAATATTAGATATGCGTTTTGGTGACCTTGGTCATGTAGCAAAACAGACTGTTGTACTTTCTGTTAATTATATCCTGTTTATTATAGGATTTGTTTTTACCCGCGACTTTATCCATGTAATGAGAATATCTTAATTGACTGAGATAAGATGTAGCCAATTTCCCTTCCCATTTCAAATTCCTATATGCAAACCAAATTCTATGACGGTTGTTTGAACCCTTAAGACAAAATAAGTAACAAACAAACTTATTTTTACATTTATAATATCGATTAATAAGGTTCTATTTCGACAGAAGAAAATAAAACACTCCTACAACTAAATTATAATAGAAGAAAGGAATGGCTAATAATGCGGACTACCAGTTCTAATGCTAACAAGTTGTCAGATTGACCTTCACGTGGTCCCCTCTGGAAACCATCGTGTTGAATTCCAAGTGTATTCATCACAATAGGCTAACTGATCTACCTTTTCATCCTCTCTATTATTTCTGAACTGATATTCTTCCATCGTATACCATTAGCACAGGTGAGGTTACCACTCCATTATTATCAATTAAAAAACAAAAAGTAAAATATAATAGTTTTCCTAGAAGTCTGATTTTTTAATAAAGAGAAAATATATATTGTACTGGCCTTCTGATTATGTATATATAATTATAATTATCACAATCAGATATTAAATAATTACTCGATACGATATCAGAAACGTTATGACGAATACACTCACACAGACTCCCGTCACACGATTGTGCTTTATCATACATCGTATTCCAAACCTCCCCTGCGGTTGTAGTGTTGTAATGAAAATATCGATACAAATGATAATTACAATGGTTGACTCGATTTATCGATACGCGCCAACAGCACGCGCGCACCCCAATTGTATTATTTCCGCCATAAAGCTTAAATGCTTATTCTATTCCAGTAGTTTTACTACGTAAATAAATTAGAGTTCGTTTCAAAAGACCGATAGAAACTAGAAAGGTATCACTAGCCCCCGTCAAGTACTACTCACGCCGGCCATTTCAATTGCACGTTACTTCAATATCCTGAATAGTGACGTTCTTAGGTAAATATCGATATTTATCTTATATTTGTAAAACATTTCTCATTTATTATTTATGCTTTTCTTTTATATACATATAAATTAAATGACAAATTTAATTTTGCTACAGAAGAATAACACCTGAGTCCTCAGGAATGGGAACGCATGGGGGAGTATAATGGGCGAAACAGTATACTCTATTATGTCCATGGTACTGCTCATGTCTATAGACGACGGTTACCACTTTCCATCAGGTCGGGCGTCAGCTTGTTAATAGCAGTGTTTACCAGCACTTGGTGTCACTGTGAACATACATTGATTTTATTGTAATGTAACATCTGTAATTCTGTATTTTTGTGATAATAAATAAAAAAATAAAATAAAAAATATTATAAAAAAAAAATTAAAATGTATACAATTTGTAAAAAATTTAATAGTGTTTTTCTAATAATATCAATAATTTATTTATTTACTTTTTTTGTAAACTTATCATTTAGACATATCATGGAATTAGTGGAATATTATATTTTTATTTACTATTCACAATATGTAAACCAATTACGAAATATTATATGTAATATAATTTTAAGTTCAATATTATAATTTTCATACGAAATTGTTGCACGTGAATTATATATAAAATAACCATTATTATGGTAAAATAAAACTCTTAAAAAATTTCTAAAGCCTAACTGCGATTGCCAATCCGCCACAACTGACAAAGCCGCTCAAGGGAAAGTCTTATGTTCAGCAGTGGACAGTTAACGGCTGATATTGTGATGATGATGATAAAATAACTTGCCTAATATACGTCCATATTGTTCATAAACTACCGAAATATTAGGTAGGTTTAGCTACTATTTTTTTTATCAATATAGATACATAGATACTCTATATATAAATAACTATATTGCTATGTATCTGATTCAGTGACTCATCATACATGATAGTAGTCACCGGTAAAGTACCGTTATCTCTTTCTAGCCAAAAATCAATAAATTATTGTAAAACCCTATACAGATATATTATAAAATAATTATAATAATAAAGTACATAGATAATTTTGCATGATTTTCATATTTTAACAAAATATTTTATGATCGCCAAATTAATCGTTTTGTTAAATATACAGGGTAAAATCAAAATATAATTAAATAAATTAACTAACTGTATTTTGCAATTTTAGCAACGTGATTTTTTATACCAAATACTCTAAATATTCGTCTGAAATATAGCCTAAGTGTTTACTAAAACAATTCTTATAATGTAATTTACTAATTAGAAAAACATTGTATCGAAAAAGTGGAAAAAATTAAAATATATAATTAAATGCATTAAAAGCAATGTATTACTTTATTTGGCCATAATATTAATCTCTATTGATATTCTATTGTTATCAGACATTATAAATTAAAGAAAACTATTATCGAACCATTATAGCCTATAGATTGATAGATAAAATCAATATATGAAAAGTAATGGCATTCAAAATAAGAGATGATAGCTTTAGTTTAACTCAACTGTATTTAAAAAAAAATCTATTATATTTAACTTATTATTTTACTTGTATATAAGCAACATTAATCGATTAATAGAGGAATTAATTTTAAGTATTATTCTTTTACAGAAATTGTTTACTTTTATCGACTATAGTAAGGTATATAGTGATTTTGTGTTAATTTCATTACTATTTTCGACAAACCCATGTAGGTTGTTACAAAATGTTATATCATGATATTAGTAACGATAACAATCCAACGATTTATTTGATAATGTGAGGTAAAAACATTTTTAACCGACTTCAAAAAGAATATTAAGTATTTTTTTTTTATTTATTACCTCAATAAGCAGTCAGATTTGAACTGATTTGGAAAATTATTTTTTTTATCTGAAATATACTTAGAGATTAGGCGTTTAGAAATTTTTTAATTAAAATAACTCGTTTTCTATCACAAATGAAGCCGATTGTTTTGTAGAATACAGTCTTAATAACAATGAAGACAGATAATCTAGACATTATACATAGTATAATGTCTAGATTGTACCGCTGTAATTACATGCCCCTTATCCGTTTCTACTCCTGGAGAGTAATGTATCTCTATTTACTCTTTAAATTAAAACATTTCATTAATGCTTTATGAAAGAAAAACATAATAAAAATCTAAGTTAACAATATTTTTTAAAAGATGTTATTTGTTATTTTATCAGCCATTAATTGTCCACATCTGAACATAGTTCCTCCCCCTATTTTACCAGTAAATACCACGCTTGGCAGGCGAATTGGCAACTGCAGTTAGGTTTTAGTGATGTTTTAAGAACGACGCAGATGCGTATCCCTTGACTATTAAGATATTTACTTACATTAATATACGTAACGTAAAAAAAATGAAAATAAAAGACTCGGTTTATTTACTGGGAATTAATTCTGTTTACAATCGCATATTATATATCTAATTTAACTGATCTGTCATCATATAGCCAATACAGAGTATCGTGTTCACGGCGACAAATATAAACGTTCAATAATGTAGTAATGTATCAACAGAAATTAATTATGTGCTAAAACGATTTGTGACCAAATTGTTGGTTGCGTCAAAAAAATATCTGTACATATAATAAAACTGTAGAAGTCGAATGTCTGTACATAGAAATAAAACGCTAAAAACCGAGTCAAGGGGATGTTAGAAGTGAAATAGAACACATCCAGATTTTTTTCAAATTTTTCGCTTCTCTGTCTGTTTGTATAGACTAATCTCGAAACTGTTGGATTAATTTGAATTAAATTTTACATGGTGGTACCTTACATCCCCGGACAACATTTTAAATACTTTTAATCATGAAAAATTAAAGAGTTCCCGTGGGATAGTAGAAAAACTATAATAACTTATACATCTTAGTACACAACCTACTTCGAATTCGAACCTAAACGAGACGTCATTTGATTATTTTTGATCCAGTATTCCCAGGCATAATAAATAGGTAAATATACATACGTCGATACATAATAACAAAGAATAACAACATCAACTAGTACATAATATATCCAAATAAAATATGTGCTGTTTATCGATATATTAATTGTCGTGTAAGCTCAGTACTAACAAACGAACATCCCTACTGCTACCGCCCGGGGTAAGTCTGGCCCTCGACACAATCTCCCTCTACACGAGCGCACGCACACCAAAAACAGCGCTTATACACTCATCGGTGAACGTTGATTGATTTTTATTGGAAACAAAAGCCAGGGTTGTGCCATATTTTTTTTAATCACCTGTATTATGCACTAACATATAGTTAGTGTAAATAAAATAAATTGTTTTCGAATTTTACAATTTCAATTTTTGAACAATTGTAAAACTTTTTGAAGTTAACGCGGCTGTGATTAATTGTCAATTGACTATTTGATTCTCCAGATTAAAGCATTTTATTCTCATCAGAAGTAACTAAAATTGTAACCTTGTGGCATTAAATACACTAAAATTAAAAGAACACTATATGTTAGTTTTCCCAAGAGACTAAAACATGGGGTTCTTCAAAAGGGGGGGTAAAGAGGTTTCTTTAGGGTCGGCAACTCGTGCGTAATATCCTTGGTATTGCAAGCGTTCATAGGCTACGGTAACCTCTTACCATCAGGTGGGCCATATGCTTGATTGCCACCTCATTGTTATAAAAAAAGGAGTATTCATCACCCCTTTATAGGTATACGACCTATTTATTATATTTTCATGCCAACCTCCGTATTATTTGGATAAAAGATAAAAAAAATTAAATATATTTTAACGTGTAGTACATTACATTGCAACTCTATATTGATGGCTGAAATCAAAATCTAATAGGACTTCAATCAATAGGTTATATTCCCGTAATAAGCCAAAACTAATTTTATTCCGATTGAAGTGGATTTATTATGCAATGAAATCTTAAATTATTTAAAAATAAATTCCTGTTTTAGTGACAACCCTCGCGTCAATTGAAACAAAGTACGACATCGGCGGGAACACGTTACAGCCACAAATATATCGTTCATACAGTTGACCCTACTGTGTAAACTATATATTTACAAGTAATATATAAATCCTACTACACAGGAATTTCTTTCTATAAATCGTTGCTATATTCGCTGTAAATGTGGAAGTGACTGTTGGTATTTGAAATAAGATGCACAGAAAATGGTATGGAGTAAGAAATGTTGAGTAAGGAAGAAGTTAGAATAGTTAGTCCATCATGACGAATTCACCAAAGAACCACGAACTTTTCCAGAGGAAACCGCGTGGAGGTCGATCTGTTAAGTTATATTGTTAGCAATGTTAACAAGATTATGTGGTTAGGATTACATGCCTTCCATTAAATATCTCCCGTCTGTACATATACATATTATGTTTTAGTCTTATCACTAACTACAAATATCTAGTATAAAAAAACCGGTCAAGTGCGAGTCGGACTCACGCACTGACGATTCGTACAAAAAATAAAAATAAAAAAGATTTTTTGTTTTGTGACATAACTAAAATTGTTTTTAATATTCGTTCTTGTCAAATTTTATAGTCTATAATTTTATAATCTATAAATAGTTTACTAAAACTTTAATTATAGAAAACGTTGCACATAAATCTACCACTAAAATCTTTATACTTCATATTATGTTTAAAAATTTTTCAACACTTTTTTCCATCAAAATCCAATTATTCAGTGGCGACTTAATGAGAATGTTATGTGCACTATGTATATTACACTTTTTAAATAATCAATCAGAAACATCAAAAAATATTAATCTGTTTTTTTTTTAATCGAGGGATAATTGCGACATTGGCACACTTTAGTAAGCAAAAGTCGTTCATGACTTTTGCTTAATAAATTAAATAAAAAATAAAATGTAAAAACAAAAATTCGAATTTGGAACTCTTTTAGTTTGAGCGGGAATCTCGGCATAACCTATAAACATGAAAACTAAATAGTGGACCTATTATCACAAAACCCCCGCAAACGCCATACAAATCATTACATGGACAATAATGAAAATAATACAAATAAATGATTCATTGCATAATTAATTTAATCGCAGCAATAAAACAATTTTTCCATTGTTGTACGCGATAAACGAGCGATTATCAACGATGATAGACCTTATGGACATATAAATAAGCGGTGCATATCTGATTAACTTAGGCCGTATTTAGATATATTTATATATAGGGCATGGATTGACGTCAATAGCTAAATATTTGTAAGCATTATTGATGAGTGTCGTACACATTAACACACGTATCATCGAATACTGTATAATGCTGATCTTTCATTATCTTTAATCGATAGTGAGTGCTTTAATTAATTATTAAAAGAAATATTTATTTGATTTAAAAGCATTTTTTCAATGCAATCGACTTTACGTAACTGTATTCAAATTTTTTTTACTACTATTGAAGAACTGAAGTTAATGGTGTACAAGGAAGGGAAGGGATTGACAATAATGGGGCCTGATAACCTAATTGCCAGCAATATAGAGTATATTGCTGACTACCAGTCCCATTGCTAGCAATATACCCTGTCAGGTCAATTTCCGTGTTATTCCTACTGGAAACCATCTTAGTTAATTTCCTGATAAATTCGTCACGATGGGCTTGGACGAACTTACCAGATTTCATCCTCACCTATAAATACCTCACTGGTGCCACTCCAGCGTACACATTCGATCTATCATCCCTTAAAAATAAGGTAAAATCGAAAAAGGGGTTTTTCTATAAAAACTGAATAATTTTCCATGGAATAATTTTTTATACTATTAAGATGAAATGATAAGCCCGCCCCAGCTATTCTTGTAATGATGTCTATCCTCTCCAATCCTAACAATAGCTCCCCACCTCCCTTCCAAGTAGTACAATCATATGGGAATACGAATGTATACCTACATGTGAAAAACCTTTAAAAATACGTTAAAAGGGTATAAACAACCAAAATACAATACACAATTAATGTATCTTCTAAAGAATTAAAATTATATTTGAGACTGATTTATTTTTGTAGCCTTATAATAATCAGCTTAGGTATATAAAAAAATATTCCAGAGACCCATATACGACTTACTAAACTATCTCTGAACATAATCTACGTAATATCTTAAGTAGAATTAGGAAATAATAAAACAAATATGAAGATAATTCCTCCCTTTTTTTATAATACTTAGAATGGCAATTAAGCTGACGGCCCACCTGGTGGAAGTGATGGCCACCTAGAGACATGAACAGCACCATGGCATACAATGTTATTCTCATTCACCACCGCAGGGTGCTATTCATGTCAGTAGACGACAGTTGTCGCTAGTGGACTGTCAGTTTATTTGCCATTATAAGTTTAAAAAAAAAAAAATTCAAATTGATATTATTTTTGCAGAGAAATTAAGTTGAAAAATGGATACAAAATTTTGATCCTCCCATATAAACACAGCGCATTCGTCTGTCAAGTTAGTACGATAAGTTCAAAGATATACTAAAATATATGATAAAAGAAACACACATTCGTGTTTCTACCATTAAGTATATTTTATACTAATTTTTATAATTATATAAATGTATATATATATATATATATATATATATATATATATATATATATATATATATATATATATATACACATGTACACGTACACATATACACATATCCTTATTTATATATTAACAATTGTAGCTAATTACATAAAGAGCTATCGTTGTAAATTCATCCAGAGGGCAATTAAATTAATATTCATCAATCTGTTCATACAGTCTCGCTGGTTATGTGTATGAATATTTTAAGACAAACCATTATTATTATAATATTATTATCTAAAATCTATCTACACATTACGAATGTTCACGCATTTTATTGTATAAAATCGAATATAACTAACTAGCTGTTGGCTACACACCAAAAATGTTCATAAATAAAGCAAAACAAACAATAGTATTTTCACGAAACAAATGAAAAAACGGCATAGTTTTGTGGATTTAATTTTCTTTCCCTTCTTCTCGAGAATCGACATTTTTACAGGTTTATATACAAAGTAGAAACAAATTCCTTACAAAAAGTCACTACTGTTATCTTAAAAATTATATCTATAAAAAAAAAAAATCAAAACCAAAATTAATTAAGGAAGCGTGACTATTAACACTGGCATTCACTAAAAAAAATCGGACTGTCAAATATGGAACATCCATATTTGATTCGCGACACACTACAGGCCATTTCCTACGGCGTCCAATAAAAAGAATATACCATTCGACTTTTAAAAAATTTTGTTTTTAATTCTTGTAGTGATAGGAATAAGGTTTACAATCGGAACTATATCGATTAATAGAACTAGTTGGTGGTACTCGGTGAAATCAAAGGGCCCACACACGTTGCCGTCGGAACTTCCGTGACTTTGTACGTGGACGGTCCTCAACTTGCATCGTTATCGATTAATGTCATAATCTGTAGGCCAAATTAGTTGTAACGACGATTCTGTTAATTTTATATTTCCAGGATGAATTAGTTATGATTAATGTGAGGAAATATTTTTTCCAGGAAGTTCTAAAGGTTTCTGTTTTACAATAAATTTCACAAGAATATTTTCCTGTATTTGATTTATTAAATGTAAATAAAATTAAATGTAATAAAACAATTTCTAAAATATAAAGAACTATGTTGAACTTTACCAACAAAGTAGGTATCATTCTCGGGTCAGTGGATAGATATTGATTACAGCTTTTATTATTCAATATTCTTTGAATCTTCGCTTGCAACATTTATCGGGTTAATTCAGGTCAAATACGATACAATGATACATTGACTTAACTGATCAATTCAAAGGTAAGTATTTTGTAATAACTTCCAATCCTATGTTCCTTTAATTAAAAAAAAATATCCGTTCTCCTTTAACCAAAGGTTGTCTGTGAGAAATTGGTCTAGCGATAAGACCGCCATTTTTACATTTATGTATGTTTCAATTTGTATTTTATGCTACTGTCTTTCACTTGAATTTTATAATTGTCATTGTATATTTATATGTTTTTTTGTGCAATAAAGAATTAAATAAATAAATTAAAATTATAAGTGGAGATACTTTAAAAGAATATGTGATATAAAAATTATTATTTTTATTGTCCCTCATAAAAATTCAGTTTAAAAGCTTTAAAAGTAACTATGTATTTTTTATTTAAAGTTTGTTTTAATAAAGTCTAAAGTTTTAAGTTATCTTCGAACTTAAACGGCTAATATAAGGGAGCGTTTATACCGAAGCATGGTACATGCGGTAACAAGGAGCACCTTAATTCAAGACTATTTAAAAAAATGTAAACACTATAACAAAAAATGTAAACAACATAAACAAAACGGAGGACTTAATGCCCTCCCTAAATGTTATCTTTATTAAGAATTTAAACATATGTAATTTTTAATGTTTTTTTTTTTTTATAATTTGACTATAAGAAGAACTTTTTTAAAAACTCTCTGTAGCCTTCATTAAACATAGGTAGCTTAATTAGGGCCGGTCATTTTAAGTGACCCTTATTACGTTATACTATTTTTTTTACAACACAGGGTGCAAACGAGCATGCGGCTCACCTAATGGCTTTTTTTTTTATACAACTTAGAATGGCAAACAAGCTGACGGCCCACCTGATGGAAAGTGGTAACCGTCGCCTATAGACATGAGCAGTACCATAGACATAACAGAATATACTGTTTCGCCCATGATACCCCCCATGCGTTGCCATTCTGAGGACTCAGATATTATTCCTTTGTACCCAGTAAATTCACGCCATATCCCACCCTTCAAACCGAAACATAGCAATACAAACACAACTGCTTCACGGTTGAAACACGAATGGGACAGAGGTACCCGAGCAATCAACTTTTGTACAAAGTCTCCCTCTGGTGACTACCGCCGCCCATGATCACCCACAACACTAACGGCATTACAGGTTTGCTGCCGGCCTTTTAAAAAAGAATATGCTCCTTTCTTGGAGGTTATGATTTTCACATATTTTCACAATTTTTTGTGTAAAATTGTTAAATATCAAAATAGCTACTAATCTTCATTGTGAACACAAATTATTTTAATCAGACAACAATACCATCTACCGTATTAGCTGTTAACAGTCTACTGCTAAACATAGGTCTCTCCCATAAGGAGAGGTCTTGCCTATAGTTGCCAGGCTTAGCAGGCGGGTTGGCAACCGTAGTTAGACTTTCATGGTGTTTTAAGAGGGACACTGCTACCCATTTCTGGATCATTAAGTTCCGTTAGTTGCCTCTTAAGACATCCACGGAAAAAGAAGGGGTGGCGCATTCTATGCAAGGACCACACAGTTATTATCATGCGACCTAGGATTTTAGCCTTCCTATTAGTCTTTTATATGTGTCAGTAAGAGCATCATCATCTTCCTACCCTTATCCCAATCATTTGGGGTCGGCGTAATATGATTTTATCCATATTACAAAAATATTTGGTTTTTTAGTTTTACGACCGGCCACCTGCCTGACGTCAACCCTCTTTCTTTCTCTTTGTCTCAGTAAGCGCAATGAAATAAAACTTTTTGAAAGTGTATTTTCGAGTAGTTGCCCGTGTAAAACGCCGGCTCTTCTTTGCCGCAAGTACATTAGTACAATTATTTACTTCTAATAAGTCAAAGCTTAAACGTTGAAGTGTGACGTCGAAACTATCTGTCAATTTTCAGAAACGCTTAATTGCTCAAATGAATTTTGAGAATTTCAATAGGCAACGTTCGTGGCGCGACGGTAAGCACTTTACTTTGCGTAACGAAGTCCCGGATTCGATTCTCAGTCGGGTTAATTTCTAAAAGAAACTTTTCTAAATTGATCCCATCTGGGTGTACTGGATTTTTTTAATAGATGATAATGGAATGGTAACCCCGTTGGTGTTAACGGTATACACTGGCGGGGCACCAGTGAGGGATGTTAGGTGAGGCCCATCGTGATTAATACACTTGGAATTCAGCACGATGATATCCAGGGACCACTGCGAGGTCGACCTGATGGAATATATTACTAACAATGGGACTGATAGTCCGCATTACTAACAATCGCTTCCGGGGTTTTTTTTTTTTTTATGTGTGAAAATGGTGTGGTACCCCGCCTGCACTAACGGGATACGCTGGCAGAGCACCAGTGAAGGGTGATAGATGAGAATGAAAACAGGCCAGTTAGCCCATCGTGATGAATTCACCAGGAATTAACCATGATAATTTCCAGGGAGAACCGCGAGGAGGTCGACCTGGTCGGGTATATTGCTAGCAATGGAATTCTCAGTCTCCATTACTAACAATCCCTTTCCCCCCGCTTCCGGGATGTAATGGCCCGGGTGTAATGGTTTATGTCCCCAAATGTTCGTTGCCTGGTTTCTCATAATACGGCGTATTCAAGGAGCAGGAGGCTGGTGTGATAATAGAAGTATTATTATGTACTAGCGGCCCGTCCCGGCTTCGCACGGGTGGACAATTTGACATTTTAAAAAGTGTCCATTAAGGCTGCACACGCGTCGGAAGCTTAAAAATGGAGTAACTTCTCCCGTTTTCCCAACATTTCCCTTCACTGCTCTGCTCCTATTGATCGTAGCGTGATAAAAAGTATACTATAACCTGTCCAGTAGTATGAAGAATAATTGTACCAAGTTTCGTTAAAATCTGTCGAGTAGTTTTGTTTCTTTAACGAACATACAGACAGACAGACAAAAATTTTACTGATTGCATTTTTAGCATCAGTATCGATCACTAATCACCTCCTGATAGTTATTTTGGAAACATATTTCATGTGCAGAATTGACCTCTCTACAGATTTATTATAAGTATAGATTATCGGAAACAGATGTACCTATTTATTAGTAATTAAGTATTTGTTAGTAAGTCTGTTGCGTTATGAAATGAGTTTCATATAATGAAGGAACCTTCAATGGAGCAAGTGACCATTTAGTCTAATTTATTGGATTTTGAAATTTCAACATGCAATCGATTATCAAATATCGATTTAAACTTAATGCGTATAAAAATAAACTCATCATTCATTTTTGTAACGATTGGTACCGCTTCTTTTTTTTACTGCCTTTTACGTAAACCTCTTTTATATATTCCTTTTTATTGATTTAAACTTTTTTTTTCTTTAACGTATCATTGTCTATTGTTCTATCTTTACTGTTTGTTTTACGTGTCTATGATCTCCTATCTTCACATCAAACAAAACAAATAATATTTACAAAGCAAAATATTCATTTTTTATTGTTATATTTTAATGTAAGAGCAACCGGATTGGATTACGTATGTTTTGTTCAGGCCCGCGCTCGCGTCACGGTTGCTCACGACTAAGGGTGCCGAAGGGTCCCGAAACTAGTCGAGCATCTACATTAAAATAAAATACTCTCGTCTTATTACAATACAGGATCTAATAAATTGTAAACAGCACTATCAATTGAATTCAATCCGATATCTAATCAAATGGCTACAATCGATTTAATATTACACTATTCGAAGCAATTACATGTAATTAGATATATCTTTATCAATATTGAAATCGAGATTTAATCGAAGTCTTTTGTAATTAATTAGAGTTGCATTTTACTAAGAACAACAAGCTTTGCCTGTGACTTCATTCGTATAATTGTCATAATAATCTTATCTGAACATATTAAAGACGTAGTCCAAATGCAAGGCAAATATTAGTATTACATTATTATTTTTCACATTTGAAATCAAATATGTAAAGGTGTATCAAAATGCATAATCTTAATAGATTGAGCATTTTTTTTTTCAATTTCGAGTAAAAATTTATCTATAGGTATACAAAATTTTGAAAAAATTAAATTTTTGGAGAAATTTAAATTTTTTTTTTTTTACTGTTTCTGTATTTATAAACCGTACAACCGTATATAAACATAATATTATACATATATCAATAAAAGTCGCAAAACACAAGATAAGAGAACTGAAATGCAGAAAAGAGTTTTTTCTTTATTTTTTTTTTGTCATTCATTTGTGATTACATAGTAAATTATATATTAAACATTAAAACGTAGTGTTAGTAAAATGACACAAGTTAGTAATTCGGAGAAAGGGAAGAAAATCTTATCGAGTGGGAGAAAAACATTTATATTTGGATAAAAATAAAAAATAACATCTGGCAACCCTGCTTAGGACACATTTCATATCAATAAAAAAATTTATAATACCTTGCATGGCTTAAAAATAATCTAATGAAATTTTTTTTTGTTTCTACTATACTGGTGTATTTATGACACTATTATATACTTACTTCTTCTATATATTTATTGACATAACAAATCACAATAAAACTTTGAAATTAAACTGTTTGTGTAAAAAAAAGTTGTAAGAAAAATAGATGACTTTCTAAAGAGACAATTAGTTAAATTGTTATAGAGGTGATAAAACGGACACAAAATGCTTCAATGATGAAGGAAAAACGTGAACACCTCTCTTTTTATCTGTCTCTCATTCTCAATGTTTTCTGTCTCACTCTTATGTTTGTGATGTCATAGCGTTGTCCTTATTTAAGTTGTGCGACGATTACAGTTCTCCTTCAGGTGTTGTTGTGATTGAAAAATTTAGAAGATTTTTAGAAGATATAAACGATATAAGTATATATATATATATTTACACGAATCAAGTTCTAATTTGCTATGTATTGTAGTTTCCTATTATTGTAATTGCCAATAATTGATGGATCACATAAACACTGGTTGATATTTTGTGATACAATTTAGATATCGAAAGTAGCGTCTAATGAAATTACCCTTGCCGTAATTCATTAGACGCTACTTACTATAGGAGACCGCCTTTATTTCTTGTTCGCTTTATATTTTTATACTACATAATGTTCGAAAAATTTCGTTTAAAATTTTACTCGATGTTATTAAATATTATTCACATCAGAATATGTTCATATATCATCATCTCAATCATCATCAAATAAATATCATCATCATCATCGAATAAATGTTCATATTAGTATAAGACAAATGTTTATATTAGTTAACTATTTGTTTTTAACTGCAATTAGTCAAACGAGATTTCGTTATGAATATAAAATGAATTCTAATGACCGTACAAAATACAAATAAACATATTAATTTAAAGCACTTTTAATTGGTCAACTTCATTAGTCGATGATATTACACGAATGCTTACTGCTTTTGCATAATCACTTGGTATCTAATCTCTGAACGGACCAATAAAACGTCGTTGCTCATAAACTTAATTAACAACACAAATTAATTTCTCGTGCCACTCACCTGAATAACAAGTCCGATATCCGCTCAGCTCAATCACATCACTTAAACATTCGTTGAATTAAAAAAAATAAAGTCACAAAAAAGTTACAGATTAAAAATTAACAGTTTTTGAAGAAATTGCACTTCCGAAGTGTTGTTAACGCATTATGGCGCGAACAATAGTCGAGTGTTTCGATAAAATTGCGATTGCGAGAAACGGAACGTGTCTGTGAGGAGTAACGTTGTACTGCCGACTTGCAGTCCGTTGTGTGGGTGCGAGCGACAATGTGCGACGAGGACAGCTAGCGAGCTGTTAACGCGGCGATCCTCACAGTTAGACTAACTCACATCCAAATCGCTTAATTTTATGAGTTGTTGCCTTCTCCACCCCCTCACCGAGTGGGGACGATGTAACCTCTGCAAAGCGTTGAAGAAAATATTTTTGTATCTTTATAAAAATTGCTGTAATTCAGTTCTAACTGTATTATGAATTAAAATATGATGAATATTGATACTATTATTTTAATAAATACTAACAGTTCACATAAAAACAAAATTAATCTACTATTATATCACTACTTGTCGTAGAAATATATAAACCAATAATTATGATAGGTACCTGTAAGTGATAATATTAAAAATACCGATAATATCATTTCGAATTACCTTTAGATAAAACTATGACAGATATCTATACTTTAATTTTTAAACTGATAGTACGTGGGCCCGTTTTCGAGAACGAATTAATACAAGTGATAATATGTTATCAGATAATTAACAATTATTGTTAACAATACAAAATATAGTCATAACTTGGTTTTGTTGCGTAAGAATCACAAAACTTATATATTAAATTACTTATAATAATATATACTGGGTCATAAAATATTATGTCATTTCATTATAATAATTATATATATATATATATATATATATATATATATATATATATATATATATATATATATATATATATATATATATATATATATATATATATATATATATATATATATATATAATATCTAGTTGAAAGTTAATATAAAACAAAACCACCACTTACTTCAATTGTCATTACATAGTGGAATTATTAAGCATAAACATAAGTTTTATTTGAACATTATCTAGAACTTGTATTATCCGCAAATAATCTCGTTTACAGTATCAGATCAAGTTATGCGAAATTGAATATCGATCAGAAAAAAAAAATTTGTACCAATATTTTAGTACATGTTAAAAATTTTATAATATTAATACATCTCCTACTCTGATGTCTGGTCTTTATTTGCATCGCAAAAAATTTAATTTTTATGCATACACTATATGTTTTTTGTTACACATACATATATCTCGAACTAAACATTATACAGTTATAATATTTAATCTACCAAATATAAATAAGAATTATTCAAATTTACTTATTGTGTACAAGTTTACAGTATCATAGACAGGTATTACAAATATACGGCTAAAGTTTTTTATGATAAAACAATTGAATCGATAAATAATACGTAGGATATAATAATGAATTGGTGTACTTTATTTGTATTGCACTATATAGGGAATAAGCAAGCCAATTAATAAATTTATCTATTTATTTATTTTGCTTTATTGCACATTATATAGGCGGACTTAATACTATATAGCATTCTCTCCCAGTCAACCTTTGGCTAAACAGAAATAAATAAATAAATAAAATAAAAGAAATAAATAAATAAATAAATAAAACGATACAGTTGTATAAGTACAGTAAAGTGGTCTTATTACTGATAGCAATTTTTTCAAGACAACCTTAGAGTAACGGACTAAATATTGTACAAGTAGCCATAATAATAATGTATAATTAAGAAAGTTTGGAATAACAACGTAAATCATTATTAAGAAGTAAAAGGAACTTGATCTTATTAGAAAAAATAAAAAGAATATACAACCTCAGCACAAGGTTATATCGCCCAAAGCATTTAGCGCCGGTACAGTAGCAATAACTCAGCGCAGGAAATCACGTCATCGCTCTATTACAGCTCCAACACAGGCTAAAGTTGACACACATGCGCACCACTGGCGCCTGTTATATGCACTTAATATACGCTTCTTAAAATATAGTGCAATCTTTTTAAATATGTCATATTAATTAAAAATGAAATATCTATTCGTTGTTTAATTTTCTCACAAATAATTATTAGGTTGGCGTTAGAATACGAATAAAGACTGTAATTTTTTTTTTTAACTTTACCTAATTTCTTGTAAAATTATAATAGCTTTAATATTTCTTTTTCTCTTGGAAAGTACTAAACAAGTACTAAAGAAATAGACGTGATTAATAAACGAGAGCTCTCTTATTAGTCATATCTATTTATTTTTTATTATTATTGTTTAATCTATTATCTAAAAAAAAACCTACTTTCCTATTTAGACTTTAACAATATCTCACGGTTAATATCTATCTGATATAGGTCAACAGACTATTTATAACTTATTCATAATAAATACATACATGAAATAACTTATCTAATTTATCAGTGTCCTATAGTACAATGTTAGCAAATTACACTTAAATAGATAGATCATATATGTATAATATATATGCTTCCACTAGTATACAAAACAGATAGAGCTATAATTATTGATAAAACTTAAATGATTACTTGTAAAGTATTGTATGTACAATATAATCTATACATTTTGCCATTATAAAAAATTTGATTAGATTAAAATCATTTGTTTGACAAAATAATAATTATTAGATATGCTACAACTCTCCAAAATGCCGACTCAAATACCTGGCTTGTATTTATATTGTCTGAATTTATATTATATTTTATTTATTCTAAGTATGTTTATTTTATCCTATGCTATAAATTAAATATCTTTTTTTTTAATGTATCAGTGATATTTGATCGATCTATCGATTAAAGAACTTAAATCATTTAGTTCAATGGAAAATTGAATCTATTGCTTTAAATTATTAATATTAATATAGTGCACGTAAATTAACGCATACAATAAAAAAAAATCTGAGTAAAAAATATTATCAAAATCATGTAAAAATGCTTTAAACATCGGCTAGCAACTGGATAAATTTATTTAACTTTTATAAGAGGATATTAATATTAAATATATGATGACACTTTGCCGTATGCCCTACCGTGTGTAAGACAGTGGACATTTAAAGACTAATAGGATGATGATGATGATGATGATATGATGACAGAATAATTTTTCATTAGTATCTAATATAAGCTCAAAAATTATAACTTCATTGGATAGTAACAACTTTAACTAAACATGAATGTATGAAAAAACTAATAATTTAAAGTTGGCACTATAATCGTGCGTACGTAGTGTACCCCTAATTGTGTGCGTTCATCGCTTTATTATTGCTTGATGTATCCGTATGATATTATGGAATGTGAGAGATGGAAGTATATTAGAATAATAACCTAAGCGCCATATGATATGATCGTTGGTAAATAAAATCACAATTAGTCTATGTCGATAATTGGACCTAATATTTGTAGAGGAGGGGGAAAAGGATTGTAAAAGTAATGTGCCCTAATTCCCATTGCTAGCAATATAGAATATATCAGGTCGACCTCCACGCGGTCTCTGGAAACCGTTGTTACAGTTTCCCGATAAGTTCGTCATGCTGGGCCAGTTAGGCCTATTAAAAGAATATATATATATATATATATATATATATATATATATATATATATATATATATATATATATATATATATATATATATGGGGTGAAAGAGATTGTTAGTAATGGAGACTGAGAATCCCATTGCTAGCAATATACCCAATCATGTCGACCTCCTCGCGGTTCTCCCTGGAAACTATCATGGTTAATTCCTGATGAATTCATCATGATGGGCTAACTATATTCATATGAAGGGTGGGACTGAAAACAGGCCGTTTTCATTCTCATCTATCACCCTTCACTGGTGCTCCGCCAGCGTATCCCGTTAGCAGGCGGGGTTACGCAGGCCATTTTCATACCATTATTTTATATATATATATATATATATATATATATATATATATATATATATATATATATATATATTCATAATTAAATACCATCCTTCTAGCACAATCGAGTGAAAATGAGACGACCTATCTAATATCTTGCTTCAACACGTTCTACGACGTAGCAAATGCTACGAGAATATATTGCTATGTATTTTTTTTTTGTCATTTCATTAAAAAAAAACTAGACCTGTAAAGTATATATATTGAAAAAAGAAAGACTTTATTTATTTATTTATTTAAAAAAAAACTAACAGCGGTTTACAAGTAAAATTAACAAAATTTATAACAAAATAGTATGCCCAATAACAGGTTTTTCTAAATTAAATTCTGTAGATTATGTATGTAGTTATTTTTTTTTATCTTTATTTATTTAGGGACTTTTGTCCTTTTAGGCACATCAGTCCCATCGTACCTTAATCAATTTTAGGACATCATTGGATATATTTTAACAAAATATAACCAAATTCCAAAGGCGGCGGTTGTCACTTACCATCAGGTGAGCCGCATGCTCGTTTGCCCCCTGTGTTGTAAAAAAAAACAATATGAATGAAAGGAATGTCGTGGGACAAAAAAACTTAATAATCTATGGTCCGATGCAGGCCTCAAGGCAGTTAGATCTACATTAAAACCTACATCCAACCATATCATACACCATCCTCGCGTCGTCGGACGGAGGGTCTGCTAGAAATGTATGTAGTTGACAACTGTTAAAGGAAAAGCAGAAAAAAATAAACAAATCAAATCGTTGAAGTCACAATAATATTTTTACACATACGCAACAGATATAATATATACATTTAATAATAATTATATACACATACATACACATATACATACATGTACACATACACATATAATTACATATACACATACATACATACATATACGTATACACATACATACACACGCACACACACTAAATAGCTACCACAATTAAATGAGCTCAAAAAATAAGAGTTATATTATGTTTACGTGTTATATTAAAAAAAATATGCAGAAAAGCTCAATAATATATCAAGAGCATGTCATTTTCTTACAATTTGAATAACCCCTTCTCTATACTACTTTGTACTAAAGTTGGATATTTATGTTTCACATTTATTTCAACTGTGAAGATAGATAAATACTCTCCCCCCTCTGGAAATCATCGTGCTGAATTCCAAATGTCAGGATGAGTTAACTGACTTGCGTTTTCATTCTCCCCTATCAACCCTCACTGGTGGGGGGAAAAGGATTGTTAACAATGGAGTTTGACAGCCCTATTGCTAGCAATATGCCTCATTAGGTCATCCTCCACGTGGTTCCCCTGGAAACCATCGTGAACAATTCTTGTTGAATTCGTCACGATGGGCTAACTGACCTAC